ACATTAAACGATCCCAACACCAAGAAATTTCAATGGAACCTCGTCAAACGACAAAAGAACAGATCCACACAAGAATTGCAACGGCTCAACTCTGAAATTGTAAGTATTTAAGGAATCTTACAATCTTCCGCTTCAGCTGAAAAATCAAGGAAATATTTGATTTATTACGTAATACAACACAAAAGGAAATTGAATCCCATAAACAAGTCATCCCAAAAAAAGGAAGAACAAAGAAAAAATACTTTTGCCAAACACAAACGACAACTTCATTAACCTATCGGAAATTTCACCCCAAATGAAATTGAATTCCTTAATCTTGGACCAAATTTTCACGTCGCACAGAAACCTAATCTAACGTTTAAACAAACGCAAATTGAAGCTTTATACCAACAAATACTTCTATTGCAACAAGATAACCATATTACTACACACGTAGGTTTAAAAGATTTACTTAAAGTCGAATCTATTAAACACTGATAGCATAAAAATCCGAATGGAATTATAAACACTCCTTTAATAAAAGCAGCTAAGCAACTAAAAATAAAAACAGTATTGTTATCTGACGACCTGATAAAAGTAATACTTAGTTATTTTAGACAAACATAAGTACCACTCAAAATTAAAGTCCATTTTGGATGATCATAATAAATTTAAAAAGTTAACTAATAACACCACCTCTCAAAAACCATATCAATAAACTTATTACTACTAACGATGCTGCTTTCGGCCACTTTAGCCATTTTCAAGGGAGTTTGTTTTGAGAGTTGTTAATTTCTCTTTTTTATGTTTGACTGTATAAGATGTGTTTTTGAATTGTTTTGAATGCAAGTAGCAGCATTTCATCCGAGCTTCGCGTGTTGAGCGTGACTAGAATTCAAGTGGGCGTTTTTGTATTGTTTTTTTTTTTTTTAAACTTTCACAACCCCACTACCACTGCTGAATAAGGTGAGGTTGATAGTGGGAGCGAGATGTTTTATATAAAAGAAGACGTCTCCGGTAATTTGATTTCTATAGAATTTTCTGTTTTCGATTAAGATTTCCCTTAACGGATCTTGTAAATCGTGGGTGTCTAGATGTTTCTTTTTATTGCGCTTTGATATTCGTTAAGTGATATGTGAGGCGTCTACTCAAGGAGTTGGTAGTATATCCAATATAGGTAATTGATTTATGACAAAAAATACAGTGAAATTGATACACTATATTGGTCATCGTTAGTTTAGATTTGATGAGGTTATTTATGATTCGTTACAACAAGGTTTCTGGTTTTCCATTTTCTATAATATAAGTTTTACATCTTTTGCAGAATTTACGTACGAATGCTGTAAAAACTAAATAAAAAAAATTAAATTATTTTTTATATACACAGTAAAAAGAACCTTCAGATATTAGAGGCCATCTACATTAAAACAAAGCAATCCACATTCAATATAATTAGATTTCAAACCAGTCATAACATATTACAATGCATTTAAATATATTATTCTGTTGATAACATTTCTTTTGCTCACGTGGACATGTACGATGTCATAAAACCGCATTACGAATTTACGACCTGCGTCTGCTATTCCGCGACCGTTATCGTTGCATACCAAACTTCTATGTAAGCACAACTTTTTTAGTTTTAACAAGCTTTCGTCTGTTCCTACAGACATCCTCAGGTATGGAAAATAGATTTGTTCTTGTTTTTTACTTCTCGGTAATAAGAGGACAACGAAAATAGAGATGTAATCCGAAAAACTGCTATGAGAAATGTGTTATTGTTTTGGAACGTGCGGTCGCAACGCTGAGTTTGAATTTTAAATTTTAAGGTTGTGCGTTTTTGTACAAATATAGTAATAAGTAAAATTTAAAATTATAAATAAGATAATAAATCAAGAAGAAAACATTAAAGATCCCTTTCGGTAATAATTTATTTCGCGAATATCTCTATATATTCATCTCTTTAGACCGAAAGCTTTTAATAAATGGAGACAATTTCTCCGGACTGATATGCTAGATTAACAGGAGAAACAGAAAGCATGAAAGAAGAGAAGAAAGAGGGAGAGGAAGAAAGAAACGATTATAAAGTTCTTTTTAAGCCGCGAAATAGAGAGAGGAAGAGAAGGAGTATGTGTAACGAAAGGGAAAAGGAAGAAGGAAGAAATGAAGGGATAGCAGTAATACTGAAATAGAATGTACTGGCCAAGATTTTTTACCTTCAAGTGTGGAGATTTATACATCGGGTGATATAGCAAATTCACCGATTATCGCCTGTTATTTTAGGCAGGACAAATCAACATAATTTCAAATTAGTTAATCTAAAAAGACCTTAATAAACAAATAATAATATCAAACATGAATAAATTATTTGCTGAGGGGTCCACCCCTTTTTATAGAAATGGACTTACCCAGTGTATACTTATACTACTGCCAGTGGAGACCCGAGAGAGCAGACGATGAGTCGAGTCGAGTCCAGAGTGACAGTGAAAGGTTGTAGGCAACCGGAAGAGTGAGGGTGAGG